CAACTACAGAGAAGAAACTGTGTGAGAAAACTACAGAGAAAAAACTTGTGTGAGACAACTACATAGAAGAAACTGTGTGAGACAACTACATAGAAGAAACTTGCGTGAGATAACTACAGAGAAGAAACTTGCGTGAGATAACTACAGAGAAGAAACTGTGTGAGACAACTACAGAGAAGAAACTTGTGTGAGACAACTACAGAGAAGAAACTTGCGTGAGATAACTACAGAGAAGAAACTTGTTTGAGAAAACTACAGAGAAGAAACTGTGTGAGACAACTACAGAGAAGAAACTTGTGTGAGAAAACTACAGAGAAGAAACTTGTGTGAGAAAACTACAGAAAAGAAACGTGTGTGAGAAAACTACAGAGAAGAAACTTGTTTGAGAAAACTACAGAGAAGAAACTGTGTGAGAAAACTACAGAGAAGAAACTTGTGTGAGAAAACTACAGAGAAGAAACTTGTGTGAGAAAACTACAGAGAAGAAACTTGTTTGAGAAAACTACAGAGAAGAAACTTGTGTGAGAAAACTACAGAGAAGAAACTTGTGTGAGAAAACTACAGAGAAGAAACTTGTGTGAGAAAACTACAGAGAAGAAACTTGTGTGAGAAAACTACAGAGAAGAAACTTGTGTGAGAAAACTACAGAGAAGAAACTTGTATGAGAAAACTACAAAGAAGAAACTTGTTTGAGAAAACCAACCTCGGGAAAAATATAGTATCGATGTTTTCATGTAGAATGGGGAGCAGATTGCCAATCCTACATTGGACTTTACGGTTATAACCGACACTGTTTCGTAAACCAGCGACACAACTGCATGGTTCCTAGGGACTGGTGGTTGCCAAAGATATTAACATGTAATATGATAACTTTGGTTTCTACATTTAGAAATATAACAGGTTTCATTTCGATTAACAGTATAACTTGAATGTCCTTCCAGTGGAAGCCACGGGGTCAAAGAAAAAGGCAGAAGAGTGAAGGGAGGTAGAGAACAATGTGACACAGATGTGATGAATATGGAGTGGCCTGCACACCGACAGTAAACGAGTTATCGTGAATTCTTTGAGAGTCTATGCTTCACCGACAGTGTCAGATGCAGATGAAAAAGGAGGAGAATAAGAAAAATTGGAGGGGGAAAAATGGCGGGGGGGGGGGGGGTGTGAAAGAAAAAGAATTAGAAGTAAATGAAGCAAAAGTGCCATAGACAATAATTTATCTTCTATGAAAGGGGGGAAAGATTAGTGTTATTGATCATCATCGTCATCATCATCAGTGACAACCCCAGTACTTAGCAATGGGGCGCTGAGGACAATGACATTATATGTGATTATGATATCAGCTCTATTGTAGCATAGGCTGTTATCGATTGCAGTTGTTATCATTGTCTAGCTAGATGGATTGTCTTCTCTTGTGCCCATCCCTGTATACTGGTCAGTGTTAGAATAATTACACAGATAAATTCAATTTCCGGTGGTGATTGTGGGGGAAATGAACTGAATACCGGACACAGACTGCCTGAGAAAAAAAAACCAACGTTGTTTTCAAAGGGTTGACTGAAGGACACGCAGGACCATTTAACCTTCTGTCCCAATTTTTTCTTATCGGTTGTACGTTATTGCATTATTTTATTCTCATAGACAGGGAAAATCCGTTAACGTTACAATGGCCCAATCACAAATAACAGAGCTGACGTGGCGATGATAACGCTGTTGTAAAACGTCTTTTGTATTCCCATTAAAAACGACAGCCCACTGTGCTGTGGTTTAAAGCTAGGCTGCGAAGCTTGTGTCTTTCTACCTTTCATAGCTGACTTCAGTAAACTGTTAAATAGTAAATATTAGTAACTTTTACATAAAAATGTCCTTTCAACCCTTAGGGTTGTAAATGCGACATGAAGTGTTAATTTCACACATAGTGTCGATTTTGTGTATTTGTGTTTATATATATATATATATATATATATATATATATATATATATATACACACACACACACATATATATATATATATATATATATATATATATATATATATATATATATATATATATATATATATATATATAAGACATTATTGCTTTTGGTGTCATTATTATTTGAAAGATTTTCATTTAAACTGAACTAGTCACCTGTAACGGCATGATTTGTCGGGGACTAAGGGTCTATGCTGCTCTCGCACCCTCCCACCCAATAGGGCACCGGAACCCAAACAGTGGCCCTTTACTAGTCTTAGAGTAGATGTGCCACTGGGGCGACGACGCTGCTTCAAGGGTACCAAAAGCTGGGACTCAGGCCCTGTGACTGCTCTCTCACTACCTTAGAGCATGTGCAAGCTGGCAAAGCGGCACTGATAACCATGTATAGAAGTTTCTATTTTTTGTTTTTGTTTTACAAAGCGGCAATACGACTGCTCTAGGTGTCCTACTAACATAATCTAAATATGGCGACAAGAGATCTTCTTCTCTGCATTCACAGTCTGTAAACTTCAGCGGAAAGTTGTGGTTGTTCGTCCTCCTTTGGACTTAGTCTTGTTCCAGAAACAAGTTATTTGTTTGAAGACTGCTAGTTTCTTGCCTCTCAGTTAGATGCACTCCGACTTTGATGGAAGCACCCAAATAGTCAGCTCTTGCAGCATGCTTGTTAACCAAAAGGGAGGGGACGGGGAATGGGTGTATTCCTGTTTTCCCCACAAGGAGGCAACAGCACCCTTAAGAAGAAAAAGATGTCAAACCAAAAAGTATACATAATTAGCTTCACGATAAGACCAACCCAAACGACACGTGAACGTTGCGGCTAGAGAGCCCTTATCTGCACATAGAAAAATCTGCAATAGCATAAATATGAACAAGAATACATAGTATAACTTAGCTGACGTATCTTGATAGAAATCACATTACTTTCTAGCCAGTAGAATAATTTACGCCTCTAAACATAGGGCTCAAGAATGTTGGCAATGATACTAATCCCTGGAAGGAATCATCGACAACCGTAACCACAGCTTATTATGTCTTTGTTTCGGCTGCTGAACCATGGCCTGGTTCAACCTACAGTGCCTCTTCGTTGGTAGCTCTACGCCCTCCGCTAGTTTCTGCGCTTGGGGAAGTAAAGAAACAGCTGCACATCACAGTTCCTGAAGAGACGGTACATTGATATCGAGTTAGGAGGAAGGTATCTACACGAACCTCACTCTGATATATGTACGCGCTACCAATTGCTCATACGACATGAACATACTGCATCAGACATAAAACACGGACTACAAGACGACCTACATCCAGTCAGCTGGCCTCACCTACCAGTCTTCATCATCTTGTTTCGGCAGTTTTTCCGAGATCAGCTTTATGATTGTCCCTGCTGCTATTTGAGTGATATGTCTCATGCGCCCGCTGCTAAGTTAATAACATTAGCTTAAAAAACGCAACCTTGGCCTCTGAATGTGGCTTAAGTTAACGCAGACCAGAATGAAGTGACTGACACCCAACCAGACCAGGACAACACAACTAGGGATTAATACCCAGGGTCATAAAGTGCCACCTTCCGATGAGAATCAACTAGGCGCAAGTCACAGGAACCTAGTTCAACCGTTAGGTTATATTAGGGCCACCTAGGACAGCCCAGGAGTGTGTGTGGAAAAGGGGGGGGGGGAGGATTCTAAAATAACAAAACATTGGGTTTTAGATTGGAGCGCAATTAGAATATAAAGACCACAACTATTAATGACGAGTGACTTTCAAGCCCACCAAGAAGGCGGAACGAGCCATTAACGCTCGGTGACACAAAGTGTCACCATTCGGATGAGAATTCTCCCCGGCGCAAGTTGCAGAAACGCCGTTAGACCGTTTGGTTATATTAGGGGCCCGAATACAGCCGGGGTGGGACTTTAAAATAAGCAAACACTGCGTCTCATATTGGACGGGGTTAAAATCACAATTATTCTCAAGGGCGGTTCCTAGCAGGTTGAACGTGGTCAGGGATTTTTTTCCCCTTCATAAACTTGTAACTGGAATTTGCATATGCACCGCCCACTAATAGTTGTCCTGGATACTTGACCAACATACGGTCCTATTCACGTTTTCCGGTCCATCTACACACTGGCTGACCTTTTTTCATGCTTTCTCAGATTGTTCTTCGTCAGAAGGGTGTCACGTTGTCTTGCCTCCAATTACAACAGCGTCGATGTTGCGTGTTCTATACTTCACGACGACACAACTTTTAAAGACCTTAGAACATCTAGAACTGGCCCTAACCCAAACCCCCCTACCCACAGTCTGAGCCTAGGTCACACGAGAGACTCTTTTCGAAGAAAACAGTACAAAGTGAAACCCCTCTGGCCTAGACCACTTAGAACGTGTGTAGATGGGCCGGGAAACGTGAATAGAACCCAACATACTTTACTAAACTCATTTTACCAGCTCCAACGCTTGTGTGACACTAGTTTTTATTTTCAAATTTCGTCACACCCCCCAACCCCCCTTCCTGGTTTTTTTAAAGTTGGGAATTTATGTCTCCAACGGTTTAAACGTGCAGAAAATGACAACAAACTGCTGAACGTAATGTTGCCTATAAACTTAACAAATAGGCAACAAACGCCAGTGTTAGGTGGCAACGTCCTGCAAAGGCTGAATATCTAACTGTCTTTCCTGTACACACCCGTCGGTCAAATGTCTGATCACTGGCCTCTTATTCGAGAGACCCGGTTTCGAATGCTTGGTAATCCTAGCTTGCAGCATTTGGGAACACACTAGCAATGTTGACCTAACTGCTCAAAGACCACCCTCTTCCCCTCTCACGGAGGTCCCACACCGGCACATTGGTCCAACAAATACTAAGAAACCGGTTGGGGAGAGGCGGCGGGGGGGGGGGGGGGGGAGAGTTGACAGTTTCAGTGATACAAACTTAGCCATTGTTCGCCTGTGATGTTACAAATGTTGTTTATTATCAATATGCATGAATTGCGAGACTCACAAGTAATTGTTGCCCTTTTGTCTGTCTGCAACAGGTGATCAAGATGATGTTAACAGTGGTTGGTATCTACGGCATCTGCTGGCTCCCCATCCACATCATCACCATCGCCAGTGACATCGACGCCTCCGTCTTCAGACCCGCCTACATGCGGATTGTGTGGATTGTGTTCCACTCCCTTGCCATGAGCAGCTGTGCCTGCAATCCTTTTATTTACTGGTTCATGAACCCTAAGTTCAGGGAAGGTTATATCGCTATGTTCCACGGCCTTCGCGCTACTTGCTGCGCCACATGTCAGAAGGGCAGCAGCAGAAGTGAAGCTGTGACCTCCAATGGAAGCAGACGATATGTGTTTAAGTTCGCCAACGATGGCGGGAACACAAACGCTAGTCGCCGCCATTCGGGCACTCGGATGGTCGAGTCAACGGGAACTTTTTGTGACGTTAGCCGGAAGTGTGTTGAAACCCTGCTTGTTGATCATGGTGACAACGATCGAATATTTGCTAAAGAAATAGCATTTGTTCCAGAACTGAGCAAAGTGTCAGAGGCAACCGAACATATTGTCAGTTGCTATGTGGCTAGAAATCCCCACTCACTCGTGAACAACCATACAGATTCACCCTCATAATGTTGTTTATTTGCGAATGCTTGTTGTCTTCAGCATAACAACATTAAACATTCAAATTTCTACCTCTGCAATTCAAATCTTTTTCATTTAATTGTATGAGACGCAATATTGCTCATATTTATTGTTTGTGTTTCGTAGCAGTGTTTGGAAAAACATATTCTTTGTTTTTATTATCAATATAAATGTATCCTAGATAAATAATGAAACAGAATATAGATTTCTCATTCTTTTCATATAATCTTATTAAGACAATAAACAAGTACGACTCAGATTGTTGCACAATGCTCTACATTAATATTTATTACGTTCTCACTAACGATACTATATGCTATCAGGTAAAACATTTCAGTGACACACAATCATGCAGACGTTAAAAGTATCAGTGACACAATTATGCAGACCTCACAGTGCTAGTGACACAATTATGCAGACCTCACAGTGACACAATTATGCAGACCTCACAGTGTTAGTGACACAATTATGCAGACCTCACAGTGTTAGTGACACAATTATGCAGACCTCACAGTGTTAGTGACACAATTATGCAGACCTCACAGTGTCAGTGACACAATTATGCAGACCTCACAGTGTCAGTGACACAATTATGCAGACCTCACAGTGTTAGTGACAGAATTATACAGACCTCACAGTGTTAGTGACACAATTATACAGACCTCACAGTGTTAGTGACACAATTATACAGACCTCACAGTGTTAGTGACACAATTATACAGACCTCACAGTGTCAGTGACACAATTATGCAGACCTCATAGTGTTAGTGACACAATAATACAGACCTCACAGTGTTAGTGACACAATTATAAAGACCTCACAGTGTTAGTGACACAATTATGCAGACCTCACAGTGTCAGTGACACAATTATGCAGACCTTACAGTGTCAGTGACACAATTATGCAGACCTCACAGTGTCAGTGACACAATTATGCAGACCTCACAGTGTTAGTGACACAATTATGCAGACCTCACAGTGTTAGGGACACAATTATGCAGACCTCACAGTGTCACAATTATGCAGACCTCACAGTGACACAATTATGCAGACCTCACAGTGTCACAATTATGCAGACCTCACAGTGTCACAATTATGCAGACCTCACAGTGACACAATTATGCAGACCTCACAGTGACACAATTATGCAGACCTCACAGTGTCACAATTATGCAGACCTCACAGTGTCAGTGACACAATTATGCAGACCTCACAGTGTCAGTGACACAATTATGCAGACCTCACAGTGTCCGTGAGCAGACATCCAAGTGACCGTAACACAATTAAGAAGACGTCGAAATTTCCGTGACAAAATTATGCAGAAGTCAAAGTGTTCATGACTCAATTATGAAGACGTAAAAGTGTCCATGATAAAATAATTCAGACGCCAAAGCGACCATGACACAATTACGCAGACGTCAAAGGATCCATGACCCAATTATGCAGATGTAAAAATATCCATGACACAATTATGCAGATGTAAAAATATCCACGACACAATTACGCAGACGTCAAAGGATCCATGACCCAATTATGCAGATGTAAAAATATCCATGACACAATTATGCAGACGTAAAAATATCCATGACACAATTATGCAGACGTAAAAATATCCATGACACAATTATGCAGACGTAAAAATATCCACGACACAATTATGCAGACGTAAAAATATCCATGACACAATTATGCAGACGTAAAAATATCCACGACACAATTATGCAGACGTAAAAATATCCATGACACAATTATGCAGACGTAAAAATATCCACGACACAATTATGCAAACGTCAAAAGATCCACGACACAATTATGCAGACGTCAAAAGATCCATGACACAATTATGCAGACGTAAAAATATCCATGACACAATTATGCAGACGTCAACGTGTCCTTGATACAACTATGCAGACGTCAATTTCAAGGTTACATCGTCACTACAGCGTTTGTCAACTTCTTAAAATCTTCCAGAAGCCCGAAGCAACTAAAATTAGTCATACGTGACTATTTGGGAACATACTGCAAGCAAAGACTACAACGAACCTTGTTATTTTTACTCAACTTCTCCAGTCTGAGCTGATGTTACTTACATGAGCTCTCAGTGAGTGATACGGCTCTTGTCTAAAGCCTGGATGGTGCTGGATAATGCCAATTTAGGGTCCATTTCAGCAGTCGGGCCCAACTTTAAAAACCTGTAATTGATAAAATTTCCGGCTTACAGTTAACTGACTGGAATTTTTCGAAATATAAAATTGCATGCGTGTTATAGGTTTTCCAGTCTTAGGCGGTCATCTCCAACATTAGCCTCTGTGAGATACAGGAACACAGTTTTTCGTTGTATGCGGGAATAGGCTATCAAAATAATCCCAACGCATCACTACATATTTGAACTGATTCCCAAACAATTTCCACGCTTCAATTACAGTATATTATATTTTTAGGAGTGCACAACTTATTAGTCAAACACAGATCAAAGAAATTCTCCACTTCAAGAAAACAGCAGCACTTATGAAAGTTTCAATGAAAAAGATGGGAATAATAAGGCCACACGAAACAAATTCGTGTTGATTCGCAAGGAATTTGAATTTCTTTGATATTTGGTAAATTGTGATTGTAAGACTTTGAGAGCGTACTATAAAGCAAGCGATAAATGGTAGACTCAATGCCCTAATGTTCTAGCTAGTTTACATGACGCTGCAAACCCAACCCCAGCACATTTTTGGCTCTTGTCATTTTTCTAGACAAATTGGATTTTCAGTAGTTTGTCATTGCACCTGCACGGTCAGCTCTCGTCAGCTGTGATTTTAGACGTTCACATATCACAAGACGTGTCATCCTAGAGCCCGTGGAGTACCGATCTCCAAAAAAACGTGGCTTTGGTACTGTATACCTGATGTACTATATACCTGATGGTACTATATACCTGGTGGTACTATATATACCTGATGGTACTGCATACCTGATGGTACTATATACCTGATGGTACTACATACCTGATGGTACTATATACCTGATGGTACTATATACGTGATGGTACTACATACCTGATGGTACTATATACCTGATGGTACTATTTACGTGATGGTACCATATACCTGATGGTACTATATACCTGATGGTACTATATACGTGATGGTACTACATACCTGATGGTACTATATACCTGATGGTACTATATACGTGATGGTACTACATACCTGATGGTACTATATACCTGATGGTACTATAAACCTGATGGTACTATACACCTGATGGTACTAATACCTGATGGTACTATACACCTGATGGTACTACATACCTGATGGTACTAAATACCTGATGGTGCTATATACCTGATAGTACCACATACCTGATGGTAGTATATACCTTTTTGCACTATATACCTGATGGTACTATACACCTGATGGTATTATATACAAGGGCTGTACCGAATAGTGATTTTCACTATTCGGCCGAATACGAATAGCTGGACCAACTATTCGGCCGAATAAGAATACAAATAGTGATTCATCATCATCAGGTGCTTTACGACTGGCATGGGCGATTATGCCTCGCCACACTGCGATCTCCTGCAGCATGTATCAGTTCGTGTGCTGACACACCTCCATGCCATGCAACAAGACTGTCAAGAATCTTCTATCGTTGTCTTCCTCTATTCCTCCTTCCATATATCTTTCCAGTGGTCACCACATGTTCCATTTTCCCTCATCTTATAACATAGCCGAAAAATGATGACACGACTGTCTCCTTCTGATGTCTGTGATTAGTTGTCTTCGGGCTCCTGCCTCTATCAAAACCTCTTAGTTGATTTTTTGTTTGTTTGGCTGTCCAATGTATTTTAAGCATTGTTCTGTAAAACCACATCTCTGAAGTCTCAAGAAATTGTTTGGCCTGCCTACCGATTGTCCAGGACTTACAGCCATATGTTAAAACTGGATGTATGTAGCAAGCAAGAATTCTTTTTGTAACCTTCAATGACAAAGATATATTGCATAAGATGGTCTTCATTTTATAAAATGCAGTTTTTGCCTGTCCTATTCTGTTTCTTTTTTTCAGTAATGCATCTTCCATCTGATGTTATCCATGTGCCCAAATACTTAAATTTCTGTACTTGTCCCAAAATAAAACCATTGACTTTTTCTACACATTAGGAATATTAATTTTCTTTGATACCACCATTACTTCTGTCTTCCAACTATTCAAACTGATGCCAATTCTTCCACTTTCGTGTATAAAATAGATCTAAAAAAAACATCGATAATGTCAAATGTACGCTGAAATTTTGCTTCATAAAATGTAGTACAGAATAGTAAATACTTAAAAACATTTTATGTTTTGCATCCTTCAGTCAGTCAGTCTGTGGTAACTAATACCTAGGAATGAAAGTATTCTTAGTTTTATAACAAGTAACTAAACTTGTAAATTGTCACTGACAGAATGTATTTCCAGCTGTACCAAACAGACGTTCACTTGGTACGCTCGTAGATGGTGCACAAACATAACGCTTGACAGTATGAACCAAGGTGGTAAATCTAGATATGTTCATTTTCCACCAGTCCAGAAACGAGTGTAAGGTAGCGACTATTCGTATTCGGCCCGACCGCAACTATTCGGCCGAATACCGAATAGTTATAAGGTCCACTATTCGGCCCCGAAGCGAATACGAAGCGAATATTCGGTACAGCCCTACTATATACCTGATGGTACTACATACCTGATGAAACTACATACCTGATGGTACTATATACCTGATGGTACTACATACCTGATGGTCCTACATACCTGATGGTACTATATACCTGATGGTACTACATACCTGATGGTACTATATACCTGATGGTAATACATACCTGATGGTACTACATACCTAATGGGACTAAATACTTGATGGTACTACATACCTGATGGGACTATATACCTGATGGGACTACATACCTGATGGGACTATATACCTGATGGGACTATATACCTGATGGGACTATATACCT